TGGTCATTCAAACCCACCCAGAGGCACCTTGGAAGAAAGGCCTGGCGATCTGTTTCCAAAAGGTCCAGCTATGAAAACCCTGTAGAACACAGTTCTACCCTGAAACACATGGGGTCACTATGAGTCAGAATTGACTTGATGGCAACTGGTAACTGGTAGGGTTTAACCACCTTGTTCTGGGCTAAGTTAGATATTTGTGGTGTCCCTTTGGCAGATAATGAAGAGGGGTACCGGTTACTGAACATGTCTGTGCCACCCTGGTGACGAGTGGTTTATAGACATTTTCTCATCTGATCCTTCCCAAATCCTCCTGAGACTAGGTATTTCTTACCCTTATCCCCATTTTATAGAAGAAGAGATCGAGGCTCAGAGAGGTAGGTACCCTGCTTAGTCAAACAGCTCACAAGTAGTAGAGTTGTCTTGCTCAGTAGTTCTCCTAACCTTGATAATGACGTTATCGGCACGAACAAACAAGAGGCCTCAGGCATCAGCGCCCGCCTTCCTGATGTCAGCAAACCCAAGGAAGATCAACAAACCAAAGCATCCTGAACTTCATTGTCAGTTAGGAACGTGCATCTGTTTATTTTTAAAATATAAGAACACGTGGTACAAGCAAAGTGCTGTTCTAGGTTCTGCTGGGAGGGATCTAAAGAGAAATTGGGGGCCTGCCTCTTAAGACATGGAAAACCTAGTGGGGGAGATTGGCTTGCACGCAAATACTAGAGGGGGGCGGTACCTAGGTTCCAAGCAGGAACCCTGGTGCGGTGATGAATGAAGGGTCCAGTTTCTGCCTCCTGCTCCCGTGGTTGTGGTGCGTGTTCCAGCGTTCCCATAGGGCTGACAGTAGAAGAGCAAGATTGATGAAGAGCTTTCTTTTAAATACTGGCCCCAATATAGCAGCATCTTTTGCTGCTAAGCTACAAATATCTGTTTAAAACCTCTATAGATAGGGGTTAATTCTATTTTTAACAAACCTGTGTAAAAGGCCAGGTTCTCTAAATGCCCTGATTCATTTTGCATGGATTCCCCTTCACTCCTCTTTATGGTGTTTGCAGTAATAATAGCTGCCCCCTAGTGATTACTTAGCATGTGTCATTATCTCATTTACTCCCAACTGCAACCCTATGGGTTAGCTATAACTACTACATCCCTTTACAGCCAAGAGAACCACACTCAGAGAGGTACAGTTTGCTCAAAGTCACACAGCTAATAAGTGGTAGATCTTGGGTTCAAACTTATACCTGTGGCTTCAAAGCCCATGTTCTTAACCCCCCAGTGCAGCTGAAAATGCTCCTTCCATGGGTGTGATGGACTCCAATATTTGTGCACACCTCCTTGATAGATATTAGACAACTTTATCAAGAAGGTACTGTCTGTATAGAGAAAGCCTTAATTTTTAGGTCTTCACATGCAATTCAAACTAATACCAAAAATAAACCTGGTTCTTCGATTTAAAAAATAATTAAGTTAATCATTATTTTTTCCATCAGCTAACATATAATAAATGCTTGTTCTCAGTGATTTATTCGCCTCTATTTTTTGTTGCAATAAAATGAAGTCAGCAAAGGGGCTTTTATTGACTTTCTGTTTTAAACCTCAGAACTTGGAGGGCCTGAAACGTGCCGCTCCCATCTAGGGGGTTGGTTGATGAGCGCTGAGAATGCCAACGGCCTTGACAGTGGAGCTGAGAGAGGCAGTTTTGGAAAGAGAAATCTGTGTTCATGCCCTTCTCAGGAAAGGAGGAAATAAGAAGCCCAAAATACTAGTTCTCACTCACTGATTCTTTGAGATTAAAGGCAAGGCCCTTGCCTTGATTTTGTCAATCACGAAGTGTGGACAAGCGCTCAGAGGTACCTTGAAGTCAGGTGGTGAGACGGCTGGCAAAACCTGAAAGGAAACAGAGGAATGATGCGATGATCCACCCTCCTGGGGATCTAGGACCTCTGACCCCAGCTGTCCAAGTGGCATGAAAGCAAGTGTGGAGGCCACAATGGGCAGCATTCATGATTGGCTTACAGGCTCATCCCAAACACTCACTGCTGGGTTCTGGAATTTTTTCTTAGGCTGTGCGCCCTCACTAGAGAAATGTAGAAGAGACACCAGGTGGTACCCAGGTTGAAGCATTCATTGGTGAGGCCTAGCTCTTCCCATCCTGGCTCCTCTTGCTCAGCTGATGCAATGGACACTGCTAGAGTGGGATTGAATAGCATTCTCTTCAACTCCCTCACATTCTCCCTCCTTTCCCAAAGAAACTTAGTTTGGATTTGGCCCAGTTTGAATCGTGATCCAATGATGCAAAAGGGGTCTTGGTTACTCTCTGTGGGGTGTGTGCTGATTGGAGGCTGTGTTCCTGGGCAGGTGAGTTTTCAGTCCAGAAACCTGCCTCTCAGGCCCTCTCAGCCAGACAACCCTGGCCACAAGCTGTCAGCAGGCAGCGTCTGAGGACACTTCCCATGAGGCGTCCATGGGCTGTGGGACACCAGCCAGGTGTGTGATGTGCTCTGGCTTGTGCGTGCGTGTTATGTCTGTCCTAGTTGCCTGTCAGAGCCCTCTTCCTGCATCTCCTGAGGCCTGGCCCAGGGGATTCTGGGACCTGGGTCTCAGAGATGTTCTCTGCTTGCCTCGGGATGCTGCTGCTGACCGTCTGGAGGGTATGGAGCGCTGCAGTCACCACCTTACCACCCAGTTACTATCAGTATTTAAGACGATATTCTCACAGGCTGGTTTCCTTCTCTGTCCTTTTCTGCCTTTAACCAAGCTGCAAGCCTGGTTCCCTTCACTTGGGTAGATATCATTCCCTCCTCCTCCTTCCTCACTAGGCTTTGAGTTGCCCAGTCACCAGTTGTGATTCTACTTTTCACTAACTCTTATTCCTTCTCTTCCACCATCTTTAGCCACATTTGTGGTGTGTTCTGTCCAGCTCTTGTCCCTTGTCCCGTTCATCATCCAAGGAAGCAGCCAAGTACCACTCTAGACATCGCCATAGTGACAAGAATGTGTGAGCTTTGTCAGACATGAACAGTTCTAATTCCAGCTATGTACAAATAAAGTGATCATTAAAGAACATGATTGTATTTATTTATTTATACTTCATTCCACAAGAGATGAGGTAAAGAATAATATCTGCCACAAACAGATGTTTGACAGTTCCAGAATAATACATGAGAACAGATGTGTGCCGCCAGAGGTTTTCAGCTAAAAAGACAGAGTTATAAAAATGCAATGATGTACCTTCACTGTGTAGAATATTGTTACTTTGCAAACACAGAGCTGCCCACATTCTATTTCCTAAGCAAATAATAAGAAATGCCAGCTGCTATTCTATTGCTTTACCTCAGAGGAGGAGGAGGAGGGGTCACAAAACAATTAAGTGGCTTATGTAATTCATCAATTTACTGCAAGATTACACACACACACATATTTTATGTGAAGATCTATGTGTACAACTATGAACATGTCTCTGATATTTAGGACGGTATTTAGATCATTTAAAAATTCCAAACTTGTGCAATGTCCTCGTGTCATAAATAGACTACTGTTCTTAAAATACCAGAAAAAAATATTTCACTGAAGGAAATCCCCAGAAGCCAGTAAAAAAAAAAGAATTCTCGTGATTTATACAAATCCAATTTCATATTGAAGCACCTGCATCCTTTGTAATATATCAAACAAAATCCAGAATAGGCTGATTTTTGCAGAAACATAAAGATGAAGTGATTTTTCTCCCCAGAGCATCATTCTGTATTAGTGTATTAAAATAACTTTAGGTAAATTTTTAGGCAGGTGGAAAAAGAATATACATATATATAGAAAGAGAGCAAATGTAGAATATAAATATAAAATAGAAGAATATTTATTATTGTGTTTTAAGCTCAACCCTTCATGTTGTACACAAAGCCCATCAATTATCAGCTGATCCATTCGTGGATTTCCAGCAACCGCCCAAGTTAATGAGTTATGGGAGCATTCTGCAGAGTCACAGGAATATCTCTCGACTCTAATTAATTTCTTGATGTTTATTGGGAGAGTTGTTATGACCAGGAAAAATATTTTTAACCTGCTCAGTGTGGCTTAAAACAACCTGAAATTTTCAGATGAAGAAGAATAAAAGTTTCTATTTCAGAACTGAAGAAAGCAGAAATGGCGCATCCCCACCTCTTCCCTCTCCCCTCACCCCAGCTGCCTTTCCCACCAACTGGCTCAGAGCAGCTCACTTTCTGCCACTGGTTTTCCCTGTAGCTTGCGTCTTTTGGTCATTTGTACATGGAGAAGGGGCTGCTGCCTGCTCCTCACCGGCGGCCGCCGGCGATACCTTGATCTGGAAGTTTCAGCTGCTCTTCACTTGCCTGAGCCAGGTGCTCTTCCCTGGGATTGTGTCTCCCTCTTCCTCCCAGACCACTTGCACCTCCAGCAGCTCTTCCTGGCATCTGCACACATGGTATTGAGTGTGGTCTGTCTAAAATATGAGATGAGACGTGAAAGGGAAGGTTAGAACCTGGTTTTTCATTCCAGGGCTTCCCATGTAGTCTTCCTTAAACTCTAGAAAGTAGTTCTGTCGGAGAAGAGCTGTGAAATGAACTTCTGGGACTGTTCATGACAAGGGAGCTCAGTATCTGTAAGCCTCAATGGGCCTGGACATTGTCCTTGTTGAGTCCCTTTCTCTTGGAGTGTCACCTCTATAAACATTATAGGGCTGGGCTAGACCTGCTGTGAAGCTATCTTTGCCAAGCGTCCTGTTAAAAGATGTTAAAATAACTGTGTCCTCTTCTGTAATGCAGGGCACATCCTTCCCCCAGTAGAATAATATATTTTAAGTGATTTCTGAAAATGGGCCGTGAAAGCTGTCTGCCACATGGCCCATGTTTGCACATCTCTATATAGTTACGATTGTGGAATTTGACAGTATAACTCTGAATCTGATTAATTAAGAATGTGTAAAAACAAAGTTCTTGCATTACAGCTCGTTCCTTATCTTTGTGTCTTTTACTGTGATGTTGTAGAACTTGGATCATATGGAAAACTAAAATATTATGACACAATGACTGAAGAAGGTAAGCATGATTTTAGAATTGTATGCATTGGCTTTTTTTCATTTACGGTGTCTGTTGCTTGCCCATTATTTTTTTTAATCTCTTTTTCCTTTTTGCATGACTTCAGTGACCTTGTGCAACTTACTATTCTTTCTGCATTTTCGTCTAGTTTTTGCCATCGTGTTTATTTGGAATTTGGAGACGTGCAATACCATGGGTAATCATGTTATTCCGTTCAAACGGTCCAAATCATCTCAACCGTGTAACACTCAGAGAAATGGTGTCAGCAGCAGAAACACAAGCAAGCACAAGCCCAGTGGGTCAGCATTGCTTCCCCACTTGCTCACGACGACATATAGAAATACACGCATCCAACACTCTTGTAATAAGCCTTCAGGGTCAGGGTGGGGGAAGATGTATGTTCTAGTGATTTTCTGATATCTGCAGAAGAAGGAGTCACTCTAAAGTAACCCCTAGAATGAAGACCCCAAACCAGCTAGAGACCTGGTTCTGATCCAGAGTGCTGAGGGTTCATGGCTAAACCCCCACGGCTCCTGTTGACTGAGACAAGAAAGAACATTACTCTGAGAGGCTAGGGCCACAATTCCAGCCAGTGAAAGAGGACGTCAATCTTTTTTTCTCTTAAATTTTGGGGTTTCCATTCTGTGTGGTTGGGAATATCATTCTAACCATTTTCCTTCAGGAAATAAAGTATGGCAGAGAGTGATTTTTGAACGTAGTCTATTCTCCTTATTCGCAGCAGCTATGTTCTATAAGGAGTCCCTGGATGGTGCAAATGGTTAACACGCTCAGCTGCTAACCAAGATGTTTGAGTCCAGCCAAAGGCAACTTAGAAGAAAGGCCTAGCGATCTACTTCTGAAAAATCAGCCATTGAAAGCCCTATGGATCACATTTCTACTTTGACACACGTGGGGTTGCCATGAGTCAGAGTTGACTCCACGGCAACTGGTAAATATTCTATAAACTCGAGGACACTGAATTAGCAGATACCGAATCAGCCTCTTCAGACCTCGGCTGTGACTACACACACTGCTCTGTTCATGTGGACGTCCATGAATGATCACTAATGCACCACCAGCATGGAGCTTTACAGTCACAAATAAATTTTCGCAAGTATGTGATTTCCCAGATGCGGAATCCACAATAATGAGGACCAACTGGATTTACTAATGAATTCCCGACCCTATCCCAGAGCACAGCCTTGTGCCAGTCAGTATTCTGAGTCAAGTTCACCATGGAACAGCAACTTGAAACTGTTGAATTCTTGTAAAGGGAGATGCCCTATTGCCCTATACCCCATGCCGCCACACACATACCTCCACCTTTTGAATAATAGAAAATATGTGTAACATATGAGAACATTTGGGGTTTTTACCAGATTTCTACATTGATACTGACAAGAAACCAAAGTACCCTGCTAGGGGAATTGGCTAATTTTATCCTTCTCCATGAGAGAAACTCCCAAATGTGTCGAAATCTTGCTTTTAGCTTCCTGTATTTCTAAGTTGCCTTAGCTTGCCAAAAATCTCCTAGTTGCTTTGCATGCGAGAGCAGAACATCTCACAGCCCTGGGTAAGAAGCCCTTCTCGGCCCCTCCCTATTTTGGCTTCAGCACATCACTGAGCCCTTCTCTGTTGCTATCCCTGTGCTTTAACCACTGTGATGTTTTCTAAAGCAGCAGGCCACTATTAGGATCTTAGACTGGGCCCTGTGGGAGCCCAGAACCCTTCCAGCCACTTGGTGAAATGCAGGTCCTGGGGCATCAAGAGGCCCAAGAGCAGAATGCCACCTGCAGGAAAGCATCCTATCACCAAGGAAGAAGAAAGGGCTACCCATGCCTTAAAAGAAGGCTGTGGTCCCAGGTGTTATTTTTATCCCAAATCTTTGGACTATTTCTATTTTTATTGATGATTGACATGAGAAGCCAAAGACTTGGGACTCACTGACTTTCTGATCTGATAGCTAGCTCCCAGGTTTTCCAAATTCCCAGCCTCGTTTTCATGGCCCCTATGTGACCTGTCACAACCCTTCACTTTCTCTCTTTATTCCATCCAGTCCTCTGCCTTCCGCCCGTAACTTCCTGTTGCCAGTGCAGCTTCTGCCTCCCTGTCCCCTCAGTTGTCCCATTCCTGCCTTACTCTGTTCCTTTCCTTCCTCTTTCCACATTCATTTGAGCAAATGTTGCCATCTGAGAGCGTCCTTTCTCTTTCCTCCCTACACCAGACAATTTAAGATCACAAGAAGATGAAACACACTACCTTCAATCTGATGATATCATTTGGTAACTGCTGGGCTTTCTAGGCAGGAAACAAAGTAAAAATGATGTCTGCAATGAGAACCATGGCTGACCCTTAGCGAGACTGTGAAATTGTGTCTTGGGGCCCTCACAGGTCACCTTTTACATTCCTTAGCTTTCTCTTGACTTTCCCCGCCTTTCATTCAAATCCCATGCGTCCCATTCTTAAGTCAAAATTCATCCCCATTACAATGATAGCTAATAGTAGCTAATGCAGCATTTTAAAAGTGTGTTCTGGGAAATCCTAGTTTCATATGATATCAGTAGTAATTTTAAAACAGCCTGGGGATGAAAAAATAAAAGAGGATTGATTTCATAGTTAAAGAAGTGGGGGGAACTTCTGAGCTAAGTTAAATAGGTTTCTTTACACGTGACTTCTCAGAGCCTTCAATTTGCTACTGGGCACTGTAGCATACCGGGAATCATAAACAGGGATAGGGCTTGCAATATTTCCCAGACTTCTTTGATCAGAATACCCTTTCTTACATGGACCGCTTTGGAAATGCTAGTTAGAGTGTTATCCTTCACCTGGTATAGGAACCTCTGGATGATTACAAAGCCTTCTGAATACATAGCAATTCCTCTCAGTACTCGTAAAAAGGATATTTTGGAACAAGTGTCTCCACCTAGACTCCTCACCTCATACCCTTTGACAGTTGCCTCCATGCCAAGCCAGACCTGACTTAAGCCTGATTCTGGGATTCTGTCTAAAAGACCCAGAGCCAGCTCGGTAACCTCAGACGTGGCATCTGCCATGTGCAACTTCCTCCAATTCTCAAGGGCCTTCCCCTCCCATTAAAAAATAATAATAGCTGTGATTTATGTCACTTCCATGTTGTACAATTTCAGGAAGTGTAATAAAGACAAAGAAGTTTTGGGCAATAACTGTATACTAGCTAACCTTTGAGAAATGCCCCATCTGCTTAAGCATTTTTTTTCCACAGTTTTAAAAATGTCACTAGCCTTTGGGCAGTGCTTTATATGATTGTCCATATGACCAGTCATATAACCATTTCCAGGGAATTCTCTGGATGGTGTACGAGGTCAGCTACTTGCAGTGAGGCCTGTCCTTCACCCCCAAAGTGGATCAAATGGAAAGATGTGTTATATGTGCCACCCCTTTTCTGAAGAGGAATTGAGTGATGACTTTCTAGATACACAGAATTGTCCTGCACGTATTCAAGTGATGACGCTTAAGCACCTGTTCGGCATCTCTTAAGAACACGCTTGGCATTTCTGAAGCTGAAAGAACTGAAGAAAAAATTCAGGCCTTGAGTTGCAATAGTGAAGGATCCTATGGGGAAAATATTCAGTGACACAGGAAGCATCAAAAGAAGATTGAAAGAATACACAGAGTCATTATACCAAAAAGAATTGGTCGATGTTCAGCCATTTCAGGAGGCAGCATATGATCAGGAGCTGATGGTACTGAAGGAAGAAGTGCAAGCTGCACTGAAGGCATTGGTGAAAAACAAGGCTTCAGGAATTGACAGGTTATCAACTGAGATGTTTCAACAAACAGATGTAGCACTGGAAGTGCTCACTCGTCTATGCCAAGAAACTTACAAGACAGCTACTTGGCCAACCGACTGGAAGAGAGCCATATTTATGCCTATTCCCAAGAAAGGTGATCCAACCAAATGCAGAAATTATCGAACAATATCATTAACATCATACTCAGGTACAATTTTGCTGAAGATCATTCAAAAGCAGGTGCAGCAGTATATCAACAGGGAACTGCCAGAAATTCAGGCCAGATTCAGAAGAGGCATGGAACTAGGGATATCAGTGCTGATGTCAGATGGATCCTGGCTGAAAGCAGAGAATACCAGAAAGATATTTACCTGTGTTTTATTGACTATGCAAAGACATTCATCTGTGTGGATCATAACAAATGATGAGTAACATTGCAAAGAATGGGAATTCCAGAACACTTAATTGTGCTCATAAGGAACCCATCCATAGATCAAGAGGCAGTTGTTCAGACAAAACAAGGGGACACTGCTTGGTTTAAAGTCAGGAAAGGTGTGCATCAGGGTTGTATCCTTTCACCTTACCTATTCAATCTGTATGCCGAGCAAATAATCTGAGAAGCTGGCCTTTATGAAGAAGATTGGGGCATCAGGATTGGAGGAAGACTCATTAACAACCTGCGTTATGCCAATAACACAACCTTGCTTGCTGAAAGGGAAGAGGACTTGAAGCACTTACTGATGAAGATCAAAGACCACAGCCTTCAGTATGGATTACACCTCAACATAAAGAAAACAAAAATCTTCACAACTGCATAACTGGACCAATAAGCAACATCATAATAAATGGAGAAAAGATTGACGTTATCAAGGATTTCATTTTACTCGAATCTACAATCAACATCCATGGAAGCAGCAGTCAAGAAATCAAAAGATGCATTGCATTGGGCAAATCTGCTGCAAAAGACCTCTTTAAAGTGTTGGAAAGCAAAGATGTCACATTGAAGACTAAAGTGTGCCTGACCCAAGCCGTGGTATTTTCAATCGCATCATATGCATGTGAAAGCTGGACAATGAATAAGGAAGACCGAAGAAAGAATTCTTTGGACTGCCTTTGAATTGTGGTGTTGGTGAGGAATATTGAATATACCATGGGCTGCCAAAAGAATGAACAAATCTGTCATGGAAGAAGTACAACCAGAATGCTCCTTAGAAGCAAAGATGGCAAGAC